CCTTACAAATACATGTGTCCTCCCAAAATTACTTACCCTACTGATTGTATCTAAAAGATAAACTTTATCTAAAACTGCTGCTACAATAAAAGCCTAATGAGTCAGGCAAACGAGGCTGCCTGGTTCCTTTAGCCAGGTAGTCCCTTAGCCCTCTCTTTCACAGCAAACATTGAGTGGGAGTAATTCATTCATCCCTCGCTCAGGGTCTGCTGGTCAGCTCCACCAGTTAGGGTGGGATGGGAGGGAAGGATTACAAAGAAGTATAAAGAAACTTTTGGAGGAAATAGGTATGTTTACTATCTTAACTGTGGTAAGGTGTTACAAGTGTATGTATAATTGACCTTGAACAATGTGGGGAGTGGTGCTAACACCTGCCCAGTCGAAAATGTGCGTATAACTTTTGACTACCCCGAAACTTTACTAATAGCATACTGTTGACTGGAAGTCTTACTGATAACATAAACAATTAACATATATTTTGTACATTTTATATATTATATACTCTATTCTTACAACAAAGCAAGGTGGAGAAAAAAAAAGTCAGTAAGAGGATCATATGAGAAAATACTTCCTCCTCTCTCCCCAAACCTCAGAGCACCTCATGGAGAAAATAGATCTATTCAAATATGTACTTTGTCCTCCTTATCTTCCCAATCCACGAATCCCCCTCCTCCTGTCTCCTCGGGCTGCCTGCCTTCCTCTTTCTGGTTCTAGTGAAGGCCAGCCCTGTCCTGGTTCTGCCCCTGCCTTACTCCAGGACCTGGCTCTGCAGATTTCCCCCTCTCACAGCACCATCAAATTCCCCATCACAGATCGATAGGGTTATTCTTACCAACATACAAACATCCTGAAATACTTTTCAACCTAAAACACAAATAAAACCTCCATTGACACCTCATGTTTCTAGCTACTGCCTCTATCCTCTGCTGTCCTTTACTCACTGTTTTTCCCCGTTGTCCCCACGTTGTTGCCTCTCCCTTGAACCCACTCCAATCAGGCCTTATTTCCCTAAGTCCACCAAACCTGCCCTTTGTCATCAATGACTTCCACATCACCAAATCCAATGGCCAGCTCAGTCTCTTAATTTGAAAACCATTCCAAATTGTCTCCTCTTAGTAATAATGTCAAATTCTGTCCTCAGCATCTTTTCTTGGAAATGTTTCTAATTTACTTTGCTCCGCTCTTAGAAAGGGGGCATTGGGTGATAAACTGCCTGAGAGCAGAGATTCCTTTAATCCCTGCTAGAATGTTCAAGTCCAGGCCAGAGTGAAGCACATAATAAGAGCTGAGTAAGTACTGGTTGAATGAATGAACATAGATATGACTCAGTCTTAGGTCTGAGGTGGGCTGATGCATAGTTTATTCTCTTTATTTGTGGTAATAATGGTCTGTAAAGTCACAGTGAACACTGAGTTAGTGAACACTGACCCTGCTCCTGGGGGGAATACAGGACAGAGTTCCTGCAACCTTGGGCCCAACATAGTCATCAACTGATTAACAGCTGACTTGTCTTATGCGTGTTTCTGCTTAAAGACATCTTAGTACATACTGGCGATTCACTGACATAGAACTCACAGCACCAGCACTGAAAGTCACACCTGACATCCCCGAGGCACATCACAGCCTTCTTGCACTTAGGAACACCAGACGGCCCTTCTGCACTCTACTTGAGAGCCAATGTAAGTGTTGTTGTTTTTTTAAAAAAATATATTTTTATTGATTTCAGAGAGGAAGGGAGAGAGAGAAACATCAATGATGAGAGAGAATCATTGATCGGCTGCCTCCTGCACACCCCCTACTGGGGATAGAGCCCACAACCAAGCATGTGCCCTGACTGGGAATCGAACTGCGGCCTTCTGGTTCATAGGGCAACGCTCAACCACTGAGCCATGCCAGCCGGGCGGGAGACATTTTAAACAAGGAAATCACCCATGAAAAGGACAAAAATTCAAACATGGCACTAAACAAACTGTGACAAGGACACCTGTTTGCAGTATGGGAGCTGAAACATGACAGCGGACCACTGCCTTGCTCAGCCTGAGCTGGGAATGGGTGTCAGGGGACTCGACATTTTGCCACTGTGCATGTTCTTAAATACCATGAAAGCACCCCCACCTCCCGCCAAATTGGTTTTGGGATTACAAATAACTGTTATCCAGTAGGCAAATTCATTAACAATGAAGATTGACACTATTTCCCTACCTTTCCGGGGCATGTGCGGTGCAGGCCAAAGGCTTCTCTCCTGGGTCAACCCATGGCTGTGTGGGTTGCACCGTACAAGGGATCAGGAAGATGGTGTACTCCCCTGAGTAGTCCTTCCTGGAAACATGCAGAGCAGATTGAGGTTAGAGGGAATAATTTACCGATTGCTCACCCAGAAATAGTTTCAGATGGTAAGAGCTTTATGAGTCTGCAAACACAATTTTCAGGAAGTCATCACTGATCATTATCTTCAGAGTATCAGCCAGCTGCTAAATAGAGCTACTTTAATCTATTCAAGTCCTTTTCATGAGGAAAGCTAGAAAGACACACTGTTTATAAAAACCTAACAGGCTCAGGTGAAGACAAAGTAGAACTGGTCACTTCCTGTAGATTCCCTAAACTTGTTGGACATTTTCTGTTTAGTGTTTCCTGTTGACTGATAACCCTATTCAATGAACGCATCCTCAACTGCAGAAGCTTTATTTATTAACATACAACCATGTTGGCTCCTGCTTTCATGGAAGAGGTAGCAAATGCCTACCCTCCAGAGGAAGCCCCGAACTCCATTTCATTAACATCCAATCCTCTTCCAAACTACAGCCTCATCACTTTCTGAAGTTGGAGAACAATATCACTTCTCATAGGAGACTACTCATTGGGAATGGCCCTGTTTACGGTGGGGCACAGGATTCTGGAGGTCACAACATGGAGGGCATGGGCATTTGCACCCTCGCCTACTTCATTTCCCACACTTGCCATAGAGCAATAGTCCAGCCCTGGCAGGTTGCCTGGAAGGCAGCCAGACATCCAGAAGCTTCCGGGAGATTCTTTAAGGGCCTTGGGAGGCTGCCATCTATTCACAGAAGAATGCAGGCCTGTGAATTTTAATTTAGGCTGCTGGGCACAATCTGCAAACGGTCCTCACAGCCACGTGTTTATTCTTTCACCATTTCTTTTGTATTCTTTATATCTATTTAGTACTAAACTGATAGCAAAGATTTGGAAATAACTAACTAACTAAATAAATAAATAAATAAAACTTTTATAGGTCATTCTGGGATCAGATTAGTGGAATGGGCCTGGGTAGAACACAGGAGACAGTCTAACCAGGGCTTGGCTGTGCCTCTGCTTTGGTTGTATGATTTTATTTACTTATTTATTCTTATAAATTTTCACCAGAATAAATTTTTCCATTGACTTTTTTTAGAGAGAGTGGGAGCGGGGAGAGATAAGGAAACAGTGATGTGAGAGAGACACATCGATTGGTTGCCTCCCACATGGGCCCTAACTGGTGTGAGATCAAGCCTGAAACTGAGGTACGTGTCTTTGACTGGAATTGAACCTGAGTCCCTTGGGTCCTCGGGCCTATGCTCTAGTCACTGAGCAAAACCACCTTGGGCTGAATGTTTGTTTTTTAAAATGTTTTATTTTATTGATTTTACAGAAAAAGGAAGGGGAAGGGATAGAGAGATAGAAACATCAATGAGATAGAAACATCATCTATTAGCTGCCTCCTGCACACCCCCTACTGGGGATCGAGCCTGCAACTGAGCATGTCCCCTGACCAGGAATCAAACCATGTGGTTCATGGCTGGGTTGACGCTCAGCCATAAACCACACCAGCCAGGCTGCTCATATGATTTTAGACAAACCATGCAAATTTTCAGGGCTTAGTTTCTAGGGCCGTTCATGCCCTGCCCTGAAAATCTGTATGTCTGTATGTCCATAGTTTTCGCATCTTCCTGTAAAGCCTGGAGCAGCAGAAAATGAAACTTTGTACACCATATTTGAAAGGCATGAAAATTGACATGTATAAGGTGAATAGCAACCCTTAATTAATGGAAACGCCTAATTAGGCAGAACTCTACTTGCCTGACCCTGGCTTTCAAAAAGTCAGGCCAGATTTTTCTCAAACCCTGCAGTGGTTCACACTAAAAGCCAAAGTCCACACCCTGGCCTACAGGGCCCTACCCCATCTCCTTGCTTCTTCATTGCCATGATCCTCCTCTGCTCCAGCTACTCTGGGCTCCATGCTGTTCTGAGCATGTCAGAAATGCTGCCACCTCAGGGACTTTGTCTGAAACCTCTTCCCTAGATAATCTGCAGAGCAAGCCCCTTCCCTCCTTCAAGTCTCTGTTCAAATGCACCTCCTATGAGGCCTACTCTGAACATCCTAATTAAATGACATTATCCCCTTCTCCTGAGTCCCCTTACCCTGCTCTGTACCATTTATTTCCCACACCACTCACCACCTTCTAACATGTTAATACTTATATTTATATGTTGTTCCTACTCTTGTGTCTTCTTACTCGCAGTGCTGCATTCAGGGATATTTATTTTGTTCACTGACACATAGCAAAGGCTTAGTAAATATTTGTTAGACAAATGAATGCAGATAAATTGCATGTTCTCTCGGGCTCACAGCCCCACTTTTCCCCATCCTTAAATACCATTTAAGTTAATTTCTTCACTATCCCTGCCAATATGCCAAACACTGTCCTAGATGCAGGTCTTTAATCATACAGCTTTTTTCCTCTCTTTTGTAAAAAGTTGACATTTCCCACATCTAAACCTTGAGCACCAGTTGGCCCACGTCCCCCAGGAAGCCCTGCTCAGCTCCCAGCCTATCTTGGGCTCTCCATTCCCTGGACAACCATGGCCTTGGGCTTCAACGTTTCTCACCGTGCACAGAGCATAGAATTTGTGGTGTTTTTCTTCACTTTGAAATTTTTCTATATATTTTATCTCCTTACTGCAAATAGAAACTCCTATAGGATGTTTATTCAGGACCTACATATGCTAAAACCTACAGTTCTGGGGATTCAAGAGAAAGCAAACATGTCTTTTACCCTTGGGAAGCTCACAATCTAGTGGAAAATGACGCCGAAACCGGTTTGGCTCAGTGGATAGAGCGTCGGCCTGCGGACTGAAGGGTCCCGGGTTCGATTCCGGTCAAGGGCATGTGCCTTGGTTGCGGGCACATCCCCGGTGGGGAGTGTGCAGGAGGCGGCTGGTCAGTGTTTCTCTCTTATCGATGTTTCTAACTCTCTATCTCTCTCCTTTCCTGAGGAGAGGCCCTGTGCATGAATTTGTGCACCCGTGGGGTCCCTTGGCCTGGCCTGCGGGATCAGACAGAAACCAACTTTCCAACATCCACCGAGGGGTCCTGGATTGCGAGAGGGCACAGGTCAGGCTGAAACACCCCACCAGCGCATGATCAGGGCTGGGGAGGGACCGCGGGAAGGCTCCAGGGCATGTCCGGCCTGTCTTGCTCAGTCCTGATCGGTCGGACCCCAGCAGCAAGCTAACCTGACAGTCGGAGCGTCTGCCCCCTGGTGGTCAGTGCACATCATAGCAAACAGTTGAGGGACCTTAGCATATCACTAGGATATTATGCTTTGATTGGTTGGATGGCTGACCGGTTGACCAGACACAGCATATTAGGCTTTTATTATATAGGACTAGAGGCATGGTGCACAAATTCGTGCACCGGGGGGGGGGGGCATTCACTCAGCCCAGCCTGCACCCTCTCCAATCCGGGACCCCTTGGGGGATTCCGACTGCTGGTTTAGGCCTGATCCCTGTGGGGGTGATCGGCCCTGCAGAGGAGGGCAGGTGGGAGGGATAGGCCTGTGGGATCGGGCCTAAACTGGCAGTCGGACATCCCTCTCATAATCCAGGACTGCTGACTCCAAACCACTTGCCTGCCTGACTGCCTGATTGCCCCTAACTGCTTCTGCCTGCCAACCTGATTACCCCTTACCCACTCCCCTGCCAACCTTATTGATGCCTAACTCCTACCACTTGCCTGCCTGACTGCCTGATTGCCCTCCCCTGCTGGCCTGGTTGCCTCTCACTGTCCTCCCCTGCCAGCCTGGTCCCCCCTAACTGCCCTCCCCTGCAGGCCTCCCCCCCCCCAACTGCCCTTCCTCCCCTGCAGGCCCGATTGCCCCCAACTGCCCTCCCCTGCAGGCCTGGTTGTCCCCAACTGCCCTCCCCTGCAGGCCATCTTGTGGCGGCCATCTTTTTATCACATAGGGGCAGCCATCTTGTGCGAGGGTGTGATGGTCAATTTCACCTCTTTATTATATAGGATGAGCTAGGTCATAGTAGAAGCTGGAACAAAGTGGGAACAAGGGGGAGGAGCTTCTAGTACTGAAAGAGAGTCAGGGAAGGTGTCACAGAGGGTCAGTATTTGAGTTGTGGCTCAGAGGAGTTGGAGTTTTGTAAGAGGAAGGAAGTGGGAAAGGCAGAGGGAACTGCAGAGGCAGGGGGTAGGGATGGGCTGTGGGTTTAGGGCTTGGTGAGATACTGAATGTGTTGAGAAGGCTGGATTTGAGATGAGGCTAGAAGGGAGGGGATGGCCTTGTACCTTTAAAGAGTTGGACTTCAGTAGATGGTGGGGAGTCAGCAGAGGATTTAAAGAGGACAGTTTCTCGGCTATAAATTGGGAAAATTACATGCATAATCTCATGATAATTATTTCAAAGGAATCATTACACACAAAAATACCTGACACAAGACCAAAAGTTTATGGCCCCGGCTGGCCGGGTAGCTAAGTTGGTTAGAGCATCATCCCAATAAACACAAGGTTGTGGGTTCCATCCCCAGTTAGGGTACATACAATGATCAAGCAATGAATGCATAAATAAGTGGAACAACAAATCTCTCTCTCTCCCCCTCCTCTCTCTCAAAAGACCGAAAGTTTATAATTAAATAAATCTTTTTTAAA